CATAGAACATTGTCTAATGAATAATAGAGAAGAATTAGTTCAGTAGTGTTGTACTTGAGTGACATAGAACATTGTCTAATGAATAATAGAGAAGAATTAGTTCAGTAGTGTTGTACTTGAGTGACATAGAACATTGTCTAATGAACAATAGAGTAGAATTAGTTCAATAGTGTTCTACTTGAGTGACATAGAACATTGTCTAATAAACAGTAGAGAAGAATTAGTTTAGTAGTGTTGTACTTGAGTGACATAGAACATCGTCTAATGAACAATAGAGAAGAATTAGTTCAGTAGTGTTGTACTTGAGTGACATAGAACATTGTCTAATGAACAATAGAGAAGAATTAGTTCAGTAGTGTTGTACTTGAGTGACATAGAACATTGTCTAATGAACAATAGAGAAGAATTAGTTCGTAGTGTTGTACTTGAGTAAGTATAAGTCAAGACCGAGGAAAAGTTCAATTCATTCTCTGACAAATTAAGCTATTAGATTCGATTGCTTCATAACATATAGACAAGAGGGGACCATTGGTTTTCCTTAGATAACCCCACCCCTGATGAAAAGTAAAATAAAAATTTTAAATGCACTTATTATTTTTCAGGAATACACAAATTCCCCAATATATGTAAACTGTCTATGATAGTCACGGCTAGTAACCTATACAATCACAAAAGTGTAATTATTCATTAGTAACTAATATGTTTATTATTATATATATTTTAAAATGTTATTTGTGCCACACTGTCCCATATATGTGTGAATTGTCTGTGGTAGTCATGGTCAGTAGCCTACATAATTACTTAAATCTAACTATTCATTAGTAGCTAATGTTTATATACATATGTATATATATATTGGGTATTATAAATTAAAAACCTTTCTATCTATATATCTATTTGCCCACTGAGAAAATATGAAGTCTTAACAATTATTCTTACTGTTACTAGTGTAAAATTATTGTTAATATTTTATCCATTTACACTTTACACATAAAATATATTTTGTTGATCTCTTTTTTTTTTCAATTGAAGTGCTAAATGGTAATATAACAATAAAATGTTTTTATTTAAATACTATATAATGTAATACCTTGCAAGTGACAGTGTCACAGCATTCTCCTGATGCACAGGTGGCATTTTCAAACAGTCTACACGTGGTTGCATTACAGCAGGGATTTGTACAAAACTAGAAGATAAAAACACTGTGTTACTGAAGTACAAAACTAATGAACTAATTTATCTCTATTGTTCATTAGACAATGTTCTATTCACTCAAGTACAACACAACTCTAATTCTTCTCTATTGTTGATTAGACAATGTTCTATGTCATATGAGTACAATACTACTGAACTAATTCTTCTCTATTGTTCATTAGACAATGTTCTATGTCATCTAATGAACAATAGAATGAACTAATTAGTTTCTATTGTTCATTGGACAATGTTTTATGTCGCTGAAGTATAACCACTACTGAACTAATTATTTTCTATTGTTCATTAGACAACGTTCTGTATCACTGAAGTACAACCACTACTGAACTAATTCTTCTCTATTCTTCATTAGACAATATTCTGTGTCACATGAGTACAACACTACTGAACTAATTCTTCTCTCCTCCAAGAAAGTTTTACAAACCTGTTCATTCTCTGAGTGGAGAGAATTATTCTAAGCAACTAGAAGACAAAGAAGTTGTTGGAGACATGCTTACTACTCCTGAGTTTATGTCCATGTTTCTATTTTATACAGAAGTTAATAGATGCCTAAAATACAGAAGATGAGTATGTTAACAATTTTGAAGCCTAACCATATTGTTATTGTCCATGTTGCCATGTCCAGTCATACTCTATATGATGACTGTGCATCTTGATAATAACCCTGCAGCTAAGTATCCATTGCAAAAGGCTTTGTAATATGGCTGTCATGTCCAAAGCAAATCACTCCTTTCTGAGACTCTCCATAATTAATTTAGCATACAAAGATAACAATTTTCTAGCACCTGTTTCAACAGTCCAAATGCACAGAAATCCATGGGCATCTTGTGACTTGACCAGTATGGAATAGTATGAATATGTGAAAAATTATACAATTTTTTTAAGTTCACAAGTGGGTCAGCAGTAAATGTACAGTTACAATGCTCAAGTCCGAGGTTCAATCCCCCATGGTGGATAGAGTGCAGATATCCTATTGTATAGAATTGTGCTATAAAAAACAACAACAAAATAAGCTGCTTGAAATATGTAATGGTTGATTGGATGTGCTATGAAAGTAACTTGTGTTCCATATAAAACTTTTGTATCAGTAAGGATTAACATACCTTTCCTAAAAACATTCAGTTTTTGGTGGCTTCATTCACATTACTTATTAAATGCCAAACACTGACTAGCTAATTAGTGTATTCAAAATTGTTTTAATATAACACATATAGGGGATACATTTTTCATATTAGTTTAATTGTAAGGGATAGAACATAGCATCATTCTAAAATTCTTAATGTAGATGTTTAGGTAGAGTCTAGTTGAGATCCAGAAACTGCTACTAATTTCTTTAATTCTAAAGGCTGAAACACTATAACTTAATGACTGTCCCAGCTACAGATTGATATTTGACTGATGTGTTCAAATACACAATTCTCCTCCAACCTCTAATGTTTAAACATTTATTTTTCAAATTTAAAATCCCCCTAAAATCAACCAAGATTTGGTACTTATTTTTCTAGAAATGTAACAATGTCTTTAGATACTTATTGTAGCTTTGGCAAAAATTACCATTTTAACTCTTTGCCAAATTTTGATAAAGAATTTGTTGGCCACTGTTTAATTTAGTTCAGATATTCTTTTTACCAAGATAAAGATCACTTTTTACACCTTTTTCCAGTTGGTGATTTCATCAGTGATTATGGGAACTGTTTAAAAATAAGTATTATTTTGTTTTAGGCTTAAATTCTGATTGATTAGATTGTTGGTACTTCTTATACAAGCTGCTTGAAATATGTAAAGTTGAACAGGTATGCCATGAAAGTAAATTTGGTTCCAGATGGAAATCCTTCTTGGTTATTTTGCATATTGTTGTCTGAGATACATGGATGGCTTTTGCCATTGACCATTCTTCTCTGTTATTTTTTAGACAATATTCTGTGTCACTGAAGTACAACCACCAACTTTTTGAAGGCCATAGATAGGCCATAAATAAAATGTTTTAATTGTGTAACAGTTTAACGTTGAATATTATTTATGATTTTAAGTTTATACACAAGTGCCAAAATACTATAAGTACTACTTTCAGTTTCATCATCACTTTTATTTATTAGTTTAGGTTATGCTGTAACATGTGCTCAGTGTGATAAGTACCAACGACTCTACAAGTTTCGACGTTACAACGTCATCCTCAGGAGTGAATTACAAGACAATTGCCATAATATTCATAGCTTGTTAA